AGGCTGGCGCTGGGGGGTAGTGGATGGGTGGGGGCTCCAGGGGTTAGGGCTGGTTCTGGAGGCTGGGGCTTGCTTTTGGTGGACTGGTAAGATTTGCACATTCATCATTTGACTAATGAATATGCAAATATGCAAATAAAATGTTACCAGGCCATCAAACGTTTGTGAACAGGTTTGCCGGTCCCCGGTATAAAAAAGATCGGGATCCACTGCTCTAGGTCACCTATGTAACAATCCGCAAACTAACATTTATGCAGCCTTCACGCCTGGCCTCAATATGCAGTAAAAAGGCTGGGGCTGTTAAGGGCCAGATTCTGCTCTGGATTCCTGCGACGAATCCCTGCGGCCTTCCCTGGGCTCGTAGCGCCGTCACCGCCGGCAGAATTTGGGCCATTGGACTGAGTCAAATCTTGGCATGTCTGCAGAGGAATAACAGCTAATGCGATTTAGGGCTTTAATTCGGAATCCTGAGTAGACGCGGGCAGTTACTTCGGGCTAGTCAATTTCTAAAATGGCAACCGGCCGGGAACATGCTACTGAAGCGCGGGAGATTTAAATCCCGCGCTTCATTTGCAATTTCGGTCGCCCTCATTAGCCTCCCTAGATCGAACTAGGGGGCTAGTGTAGACGGACCCTAACAGAATTACCTAACCCCACCACCTTGGTTGATTTACACCTAGCAAAATTAATTCTCCAGCAGACAGAAACAGTTACAAACCAGCCAGAGATCACACAGACCAACAATAGGAAAGTGTGAGGACAATGATCAGAGCACGAGGATCCCACAACCGTTTCTTGCCAGACAAAAAGCTGTTAATTAAGTTTTCTTTACCCAGCTTGAGCTCTGTTTCTGTATCTGGTGACAGTGGGGGCCATTAAGACAAAGTCGCCTTCTCCAGCCTAGTGTGACGCTATTTTAATGCAATTTAGATGGAATGTGAGTAGATGACTCCAGGCTTTCCAGCGAATGGCTGCTCTTCAGTCTGGCTGCAGAGGAAGGCCTACCAATTTGGCATCGTGGTTACAGAAAAACCATATTGTTACCGTCCCCTCCTTAATGACTCTTTTCCCAAAGCTGTCAGTCATTACTATTTCAGGAGTCCAATACTCAGCCTAGCTGAGCTTGGTCTTGCCTCTTGGGCGTTACTAACAAGGGCCTCATTTGACTTGGCATGCCAGCTTCCTGTAGCCGTCGAACAATTCTCTCCACCCAGCAAGCCAGAGCGATTATACGCACTAATAAAGCCAACTGGATTCCAATGATCACCACAGTGGGTGAACCATTCTATTTAGCACACCTTTTGCAGAAGGTGACCAGCCTAATAGTGTTTCCCACCAGGAGTGATGTCCTGCATCCGCAATAGCTTTTAGTACATGAGTAATTTCTGCATTATTATGCTGCACTTCAACACGTATTTGTTCTCCTGTCAGTGCAATATACTGTAAGGCTGTGTCTAGACTGGCAAGTTTTTCCGCAAAATCATCTGCTTTTGCGGAAAAACTTGCCAGCTGTCTACACTGGTCACTTGAATTTCTGGAAAAGCACTGACGATCTCCTGTAAGATTGTCAGTGCTTTTCCGGAAAAACTATGCTGCTCCCGTTCGGGCAAAAGTCTTTTTCCGAAAGACTTTTGTGCAAAAGGGCCAGTGTAGACAGCACAGTGCTGTTTTCCGCAAAAAAGCCCCGATTGCAAAAATGGCCAACGGGGCTTTTTTGCGGAAAAGCGCGTCTAGATTGGCCACGGACGCTTTTCCGCAAAAAGTGCTTTTGCGGAAAAGCATCCTGTCAATCTAGAAGCGCTTTTCCGAAAATGCTTTTAACGGAAAACTTTTCCGTTAAAAGCGTTTTCAGAAAATCATGCCAGTGTAGACGTAGCCATAATGTGAATGTAACATAGGATGGATTAACGATTTTCTTATCACAGTCATATTCATACCTAAGGTTACAGGTGTTACATTGTGATACAGTTGTGGTTTCCTGCGGGCTTGCAGGATCTTTAGCCACTGGAAGAGCCTCACACAGTAATATTCTTATTCTCTATGTATTGACAATTCCCCAGCAAGTGGGTACGGGTGGGTGTGTAAATTAACAGGGTTGCACCTTGAGCCCTAGGAATTGGGTAAAGAAAGGTGTGTGTCCCTAAAGCGTGGAAGAGAGAGAGAAATTTGTGTGGGTAACAACAGCACCCTAAGGGATGGGTCTGAGATCAGCATTCTGTACACGCTGCTTGTCTCAGTCAGGCAGTTATGAATTTGGCTGGCATATTTGGCCCATCTCCTGGGGAAAGGACAGTTCAACACGACTGGCGTGCTGCAGAGGAGAGTCGCGCGGATAGAGGACTCGCCCGAAAGAGACAAGCTACGCAGCTCATCCCTGCCTGCGGGGCTGTGATCTCGGCAGGTCTCGCAAGCAAAGCCGCGTTCGGCTGGACAGCGTGTGGCCTGCAATGCAGCCTGGCTCCGGCGTAAAACTGAGGGGCACTTTGGGGGCGACTGGAAATCGCCAGGCAAGTTCCATTCCGTGCGTCCTGCCGCCGTGTGCCAGGCTGCCTCCACTCCCTGCGCGGAGGGCGGCTGTTCTTTCCGGGGGCCTAGGAGGTGAGAACAGGGCCTGCACTGGTTGTTCATGGCGTGTTTCCTTCCTTTCACTTCTGCTAATCCCTGATTTTGTGCGGTGACAGTAAGTGCCCTTTCCTTCACTTTCATTTCCCTCGCCCCTCAGGGGGAGAGATGACAAACCAAGCCCAGGCCCATACACAGGAATTTCTGGGGGGAAGGTGTTTTTTTTGTAAATGTGGATTCCAAGATGCAAACACCCCGCCCCCCCCCAATGCTTCCCCAAGTGTGCTCCGGCCGGCCCCTCTGTCTGAGCCCCCCCCCCGCCTGCATCGGCCAGCCGGGGGAAGGCTGGGGGTAATCCCCCTCCCCCAGGAGCGAGTCCCAGCCCTGCCCTCCGTCTCACTCCTGGGGGAGAGGGGGAGAAATCAGCCTCAGCCTTCCCCCGGCTGGCTGGAGCATGGGGGAGGGAGGGAGGCTCAGGCAGTGCACTGCTCCTGCCGACACCTTGGGGGACTATGGGGTGGGGGGGTGTTTGCACCCTTTGCTCACAGCTCCCCTCCCCCCCCACGCCCG